AAAATGAATCCCTGTTATTATTCTACAAGGGTGATTATTCGTCTTTACAACGACAGAAATGAAACCAAAAGAACATACGTTTTGGGGGGAAATGTAAAAAATGTAAAAACTATAGTTGGTCCACAAATTTGACCATCCCTCGTATATACATGTATTTTACTTTTACTGTTGCAAGTAAAGGTGAAGGTAAATTGTGGACAAAGATATTTTTTTTTGAGAATATTATGAACTTAGAATAAAATATAAATATAAATGGAATGATATATGGGTAACCGTGTCCTACAAGTAAAAATGAAGAGGTTTTGTCTTAAATATGTGATTATTGCACAGTTTAAATATTAATCGCATGTCTTAATGTTGCGATGTAAAAACAAACTTTAGTGCTATTGGAATTGAAACAAAATAAATTTATTTGAAAGCTTTTGCTTCGAAAAACTACACCTATACATGAAACAGATATTTTTGCTTGATTTCTCCAATAATTGCAAAACAGGAACCAGTCAGAGAATAATACAGAGATGTGTACCTTAAGCTTTCTTTGAAATAATACCAGCCTACATCCCTTCAAGGATAGTTGTTTCCATACCTTCCATCAGAGATTAGTTCAATCCCATAGGAAAGTAATTAATTAAATTACAATTATTTGTCCATAACATTTACATGTAATTGAATTACCTCACAAGAATTTGCCACTACCATTGCAAGGATTTGGAATCGGTGTAATTAAATAACAATAACTTTGCAGATGTAATTCACTAAATTACAATTAAAAAAAAACTTTATTGTCATTTTCATTATCGAATGACGAAAACTTACTGGGTATCTTTGTTATAACCTGTGAATGCAAGTATAAATCTATCGCCCGCAAACTCAAACAATTATACCAATGGAGATAAGTCTATTTATGTAGGTTAATTTACCTTTGGAAAGAGATACAACTCTCACTGAGATAAATTTTTATATTTATTTCTGAATGAAATTGTCAAGATAAAAATTCATTTCCTCAAAATCAAATTTTTACTGCGAGGTATGCTTAAATTTTAAATTAAACATGTTAAATGCATTTAAATTATGATTAACATTTTGGGAATATTGGCATTAAAACCTTTTTTTAATTGAGTGCCACATGGACAATGAGTCCGCATTAAGATTGTGAAGAAAATATGATTTAACAAAAATATTAAACAGCCATCATTGGTTGAAAGACTTCCGTTAAAAATGAATAATTTTATTTATATGAAAATATTTCTTTTGATATACTTTGAGTACACCACGGAAGACAGAAATGAAGTAAGCACTTTCTTAGACCCTACCAACTTTTTCGTTTTACACAGAGACAAGAATGAGAATTGTCATTCTCTCATGCTATAGAAAAATTACTGTACTCGTACTTAACATAAAGCAATTCCTGTAGAAGTTCACAAATTAAAGCCGTCATTTTTTCTTTGTACCATTTAAATCGACCGCCCCATTGTAAAAAAAAAAAAGAAAGACAAATAAATATCTCTTCGTTAATTGTAATAAGAATCAGATTCCTAGGTGTCTTCTAAAATGCATTAAATCTGCCTTTATTTCAGTAATAAAATTAAACGCCAACTAAGTTAAATTAAAATTAATCGTGTTATTTTGGCTATGATATTGTTAGCTGAAATACACGATCACCACTGTGAAAATTACAGATTGACAAAAGAAATCACTATAAGTTTGAATGAAAATCTGTATCAATGACAAAAATTATTGAATAAGAAGGGTGTCTAAATTCAAGTTTTGGCTATCTCATTTAATATCTGGCAGGTAATTTAGAGGTTGAAAAGAAATTGTTGTGTAATATGATATAAATCTGCTTTTTCAACTTGGGCAGCAGATCTCACAGATTTCAAGGGAAAATGTGTCAGAAGTTTATCACATGATTTTGGGTAAGATCAGTATTTCGTATGCGAAATTGATGAATAGAATAATGATTAATTGACTGTATGTTGTTTTTCGTCCCATTCCAGAATTTTTCTCTCATATAGAGATGTAACCATATACCGGAGAGGGGCTTCAGATTTAGACCTATACTCGGCACTCAAGACCATTGAGCAGTAAGGGTTCTTTATCTAACCAAAGCCTGTCGTGAATCGGGATCTCGATCTTTGAAGTCTCATCCGAAAGACCCGTGATTTTCACTTTTAATGCAGGGCGCTTGGCGAAGGAACCGTCACTAACTATGTTTACGTCTTAGATATGACGCGGCGCGGCGAACGAGAATCGAACCCGGGCCTCTCGATTACGTAGCGAACGCCCTACCTCTAGGATACCGTGACCGGTGAGTGGAATAATGAAACACAACTTAAAACGTTCGTTAAAATTTGTAATCTTCAATAATGTTTATTTCTTCGCAAACATTAATTTTCTATTGGTCATTATAGAAAGTTTCATTGCCATCAGGCATTTCATCTATATTTTCTAGTTTATTCTAAAGAAAAGATATTATGGAAAACATTAAATTCATTATAAGAAATATTCAATTACATGCTCTTTTTCTTTAAACTTCAAGTTTAAATGAGTATATGAGTAAATTTTTCTTTAAAGAGAGGACAGTTTTAGATCTACTGCTCAAAGACCAGAAGAGTTTAAGTAATAGTTAGATGTCCGTCTTCAGGCCGTCTGTCTGTTTGTCTGTCTTTCTGTTTGTAAACCATTTTTTTTTTTTTTGCAAATACTACTCCTCCTACAGTTTTTGTTCAATATCAATATAAACAAGCACAGAAATAGGATACACAAAAATAATTCTATCTCTTAGTTTTGACTTCGATGAACGGTGTTACTAAAAAAAGAAATTTCTGTGAAATTCTTTCAAAACGCTTCTCTTACTGTTTTTGATCGGGAGGCCTAGGTTCGTTTCTCGTACGCCGCGCCGTGCCAGACCAAAGACGTTAATATAGGTAGTGATTGTTCCTTCGCGAAGCGCCCGGCATAAGAAATAAAAGACACGCGCCTTTTAGATAAGACCTTAAAGCCGAGGTCTCGTCTCACGGTAAGCGGTGGAACAATAAAGAACCCTTACTGCTCAATGGCCCTGGGTGCCGATAATAGGTCTAAATTTGAAATCCTTCACAGGCGTGAGGTGACGTCTCTATGTGAGTGAAAAAATTCTCGAATGGGACGTTAAAGAACAATCAATTCTACAGTTTTAAACCCATTGCAATATAACTGGGTGTGCAAATACTTTAAGATACATAATTCTATGCATGTTTCCTTTATTTTGATGAACGGTTTTGCCATGGTTACTAAAATTAATAATTACTGTGAAAATCTTTTAAAACTCCTACCTCTCCTTCAGTTTTTAAATGGATCATAAGTATAAAATAAAATTGTGTTGATGGAATAAATGGACACATTTGGCTCTTTTATGTGTGTGCCATACTATACACGTGTGCTTAGGAAAAAAAGTTAATGACCTTTTTTTGCATTTTGTAGTTAAATGGTCATACAATGATCTCTTAGCATTGGAACAATTAACTAAAGCAATGAGAATATTTTTTTTTTTTACTTAACCGGTATTTCCGGCGACGGGCGTGCATATTTCATCCGCATTGCAGTCCAAGCCCATGATGCATTCTGCGGAACATTAACGTTAGGAAATTTCTGTAATTGTCGTTGGTACATTGTAACTTGAAAAGCAGCAAAGACTTGTCAGCGTTGGAGATATAGAAGCAATACAATACTTTATAATTTTATCGGTTATCTTCGGTTATCTTATGATAAACAGAAATTGCAGTCCTTGAAAAAAGGACTGAAATACGTGGATCATATGCATATATTTGTAATAGAAATCTGAAAGATTCCGGATAAAAATCATATTATTTAAGCTGTAACAATATATGATAAAAATTGGGTTGAAATAGGCATCTTTAAGAGCGACCATGTGGCCATACACCCCCGCTCCTTCTTTCCACCAGTTCAGGACAACTTGCTTCCAAGTAAATGATAAATTGAGTGTGTTCATTATCTTGAGATAAGTAATCATTATACATGCATTTAATAATATACATGGTGAAACAAACAGTAAAAATGTTTTTATTTATCATTTAAGATCGTACAGGCATATAAAAGGGATTTTCAAGTTGGATATGCCACTAATTAAAAACGATTATTATTCAAAATTGTTATATTTAGACATTTAAAATCTAGCAAGTAAATTAGTCATAAATTAAGTTATGACAGCATTACTTTAAACATATGATCAATGAAATAATTTTGTTTTTGAAAGTGATATTTTTATTGGTTTTTAAAGGGGTGCGATCGTATCCAATGCACCTCCCCTTTCCAACGGCCTTACCCTCGGTGAGAGGAAAGCCATGGAGTGTTATGCCCCCCTCAAAGCTATGTGACACAGCTGTATATGTATAATAACTCAAAGGTATGTGATACAACTGTATATGTAAAATAACTCTACTGACACTGGTCAGGATGGAGGAAAATTCTGACTTTAAATTTCCTGCCTTTTTTGCACTACTTTTGAAAATGTATAAATATATGTATTTATGCAATTTTCTCTACATCATTTATCATAAATATATGAAAACGCAGAAAAAAAAATATTACACGTGTCACAGCAGGTGTCAGTAAACGATCGTTACCGTCTCTGCTCAAATCTGAGAATCATAGATACATGTACCTTTGCAAAAGAATTTTTTTAACACTTATGATCTTACAAAATTAATGCAGTTTTCCATGAATTTATTTTAATAGGAATTTGAAACTTTGTCATTTGCTGATTAAAAATGATGATATGTGGGGGTCATTGTTCTGGAGTAGCAAAATTAAACTGGTTCGTAAGGAAGTAATTTAGGCAGTAACTCGTGTATACAGAAAATTCACAAACCTTGAAAACTAAAAAAAAGTTTAACTGAAACAAAATATGACTTACCATATCAAGTATTTATTTGTGTTAAACTTTTTCATGTCAAAAAGCTGTTCTAAGGGTTTATTATCCTTAACAAATACAGATACAGATACAATCCTAAATGTTTAAATAACATAAACTAACAACCGATCTCCTTCATTAATTCATTTAAACATCATGAAATAATATATCTTTTTTGTTCTGTCTTTGTGTTATGACCATCCCTTAAAGATTCCCAAATATACAAAGGAAATTTAATGTCGTCTGTAATTTGGCGAGCAAAAATCACTTCCGGAATAAAATTAATTGCTTTTTTTTGTTGGAGTAACATGATACATGTAAACATTGACTTGCGAATTCCAATTCTCGAGATTTGACGTGCACGAGTCACGTGAAATATGGAATATGCACTAGTAAACATGTAAACATACAAAAAGAAACTATTAACCGTTGACAACTATTACGCCTTTCAAGGTTGGGGCTACATGTAATGATACAAAATCAAGTGTAAACACAAAAAATGAGACCATTGTCTGCATGTATATATACAATAATCAACTTAAAACTCAAATGAAACTCAAAAATATTAAGGCTATACTTATGCACAACCTCATGCAATTTATAACTACTTGTATGTAACAGCTGAAATTGTTTTTCCTCACTTTATCACCTTACACTGTATATCAAAACACGATTATAGCTAAACGCTTGTGACATGTGAAATTCCTTTTTTCTGCACATTGTTTATCATGTTAGAATTGTACCAACTCCTTCATTACTAGCATTTGGGCTACAAACATGACTTCGTTATAAGCACACTTTCGTTATATATGTATTCGGTTTACACATGTTTAACTGTACTTCTGTAATGCTAAATAACATCTGAACCTTTCAGAATTTACAGTATATCACAGGATGAAACTCTGACATTCAGTTAACTGAATACTCACTGAAAGGTCTGGAAAGATCACTGAATGAGAGAGCTCTTCCGTTTAATTACCTTTCAGTAATTTTTCAGTCACCTTTCAGTTAACTGAATGACAGAGTTTCATCCTGTGTAACTATGTTCTAGATCCGGCGAATCATCATACGGGAACCAGTCAGAGACGTGGACCATCCTTTGAAATAAAACCAGCTGATGCCTTTTCCATGATTATTATTTCCATATTCTCCATTCAGATTTGACCGATGTCCATCGTGATACCACCAGGCTCCTAGCCATCTTTGGGCATGATTTGCAGAACCTTCGCTGTCATTATCATTATCAAAGGTCGAAAACTGGGCATCATTGTTACAGTGATCGGTTGTACATGAAATTCCATCCCCTGCAAACATCAAGCATTATTACAAAAGGGATTTTTTTAATTAATAGGTGATCAATGATTCGTGTTACTCTCGTCAAATGTAACAAAATAAACATTGAACATACACCTCTGATTAGTATATCTATATTAAGGAGGTTCGATCCTGAGCTTTTGAACAGATTTCGGTCTGGATCTTAAATTCTAAAATTATGCATCATTTTTAAGTTCTAACATTAAATCTGGATTCTACAATGCAAATTAAACTATATCCAATGAAAAAACCGCGATTAAATTCCATCCTAATAGGATTAAGCCAGGAACTATATTTTGTGGCGGAAGGTTTTTTAGAAGAAAATAATCCATTTTTCCCTTTTGAAATATATACAGTACTGTTAAGTTTAGATTCCTATTTTTCCATGCTGGTTTCACACAGAGCTGTTTTTTGCAGTGAATTGTTTTATGCTGGTTCTGAAATATCTATTTAAATATTTCTTGTGAATTCTTTCAATATATTGTGACAAATATAGTAATTATATTCTGAAAGTCCAGGAAAAAACTGAACCAATTTTAACATAAAATTAACACTTTTTAGTAATATCTAAAAATTTACATCATAGACCCCACTTTTATTTTTCTTTTCTGAATATATAAGATAATTTTGACCAATCTGCCTAAATTCAGCAAAAGTTTAAGACTTTAGAATAATTTTCTTGCTTGTTAAATTTTTAATGCCAGAAAAATCACATTTTGTGAGTGCAGAAAGGTCAAATAATTCATTATAAGCAGCAATTTGAAACTTTTTCTTAGTCACAATTTTAATTTGTCCTTTTTTTAAATAGACTAATAGTTTATTTTGTCCCATGATTTATTTGGATAAAAACATTGGAGGGAAAACGTCGAAGATGTGATTTTTGATTAAGACACAAATTTCAGTGCAAAAAGGTCATATTAAATGTACTGTAGCGCCAAAAGAAGCATTTTGATCCCCATTTTTTGTTTTGATTTTAATTAAGCTATGTTTCTAGAAACTAAAAATATACTTGACAAAAAAAGTTTAAGACATTAAATATCAGGATCCAACCTCGTTAATGCATTAATAAGAGAACGCAAATAAAATGCTTCCTTCCACTAGCATACATGCAGGTAACATGTTATGAAATATAAAATATCAAAGGATTTTTTTTTTTCTTTTTTTTTTATTTTTTATTTTATTTATTTTTTTTTTTTTTTTTGCTTTCGGGAACATCATTGAATTGAATTTGATTTATATGAAACTATTCAATTGCAAAAAAAAAAAAAAAAAAAAAAAAAAAAATGGATTAAATCCTTTTGTCAGTGTTTACCTGCTGTTCCACTGTAACCAGACACATGGATTCGGTAGTTGTCATCCTCCCCTGCTATATAGAAACAACTGTACTCAGCATAAACCGATTCTGCACCGTATTTTAATTCCACACGAAGAACTGTAAATCCATTTGTAACCAGGAAACGGATGTTGTCTAGACCTTCAAGCATAAAATAAAACCAAATTAGTGAAATAATATGTTTTGAATTAACTCTTCAGTGACATCGAACTATCTCAATACATTTTTATTGTATTTTTAAACTTTTATTTTTGATATTACGAACAATACATACTAATCGTAACAAAATTTGTCAACAATATCTATGAATTGTATTTTGTTAAATATTTTATTCAACAATTGCTTCCAGCAGGAATCCCTAGGAAAATTGCTCATTATCATTTTTTATTTGTGTAATCAGTTTGTAGCTGTTGCTTGTATTCAGTAATGGCCGCTAAAATAGAAGCATGTCATGTGAAGTGACAGAAAGGGATAGATACATGTATATACATGTATACACACCTATCCAGAACTCAGTATTGAGGTCACCAAATCCACTTTTATATTCTGCCCATCCCCTGAAGAAGTTCACAGAGCCATCAACTCTTCTTTGTATCATCTTAAGTGACCCGCCGTAATTAAGAAAATAAGAAACTTGATTAACATCACTTAAATTTACAGTAAACATATATTACTTTTCATCATATCGTAATATGTTGACGGTGCGACCGTCAGGTTTAATTTAGATCGGGCTCGATCGCCAAACTGCACGTGACATTTCACGTCTAGACTCTGACGTCACATGACGTCGTATTTAAGTTGCATTACCAAACCGAAGCCTGAACATTGTTGACTTTAATGAAGAACGTTTTATTTACTATTTATCTGCAATATAGCCATTAAATCAAGGCGAGTTTATTTTTTTGATAACTGTTGTTGTTTTTCTCGCGAGAACGTAGCTTAAACAAGTAATGCATTGTGGGTCCAAAAGTTACTGCGGAAAAAAATTCGTTTGGACAATGTGTAAGTCCGAATTTTCTCTTCGCCCAGGCGTTGTCGTTAGAGCTCGCTGCGCTCGCTATAATTGTCACAGATTGTCTATTTGTAAATCTTTAACAAGTCCAATAATTCCATAATAAACATTGGCACTCATTTTATTCTACAATGATTTTATTATCTAAATGAGATATATATATTCCTCTGGTCAAAATATCAATTGATTGATTGATTAATTGTATGTTGTTTTACGCCCCATTCGAGAATTTTTCACTCATATAGAAACGTCACCATATACCAGTGAAGGGCTTCAAATTTTGACCTTTACTCGGCACTAAGGGCCATTGAGTAGTGAGGGATCTTTATCGTGCTAACGACTGCCGTGGCCTCGGTTTTTAAGGTCTCATCCGTAAGACCCGCAACTTTCACTTCAAAGTGCCGAGCGCATGGCAAAAGAAACAGTTGCTACCCATTTTTAATCGACTTAGGTCATTCGCGACCGAGATTCGAACTCACGACCTCCCGATCACGGATCGAGCGCTCAACCGACTCAGCTACCGTGAAGGGTCAATCTCAATTGACATTACATGCAGAGACATTAATTTGTATATACTTTTCTTCTTATTCTTTGAATAAAATTATTAAGAAAGGAAACAATGTCTTATGGGAAAGTACTGAATACATGATTTTTTTCTGTGGTAAAATCATACCGTCCAAACATGACCTCCAGTGTTCATACAGTTGGCTAAGATTACACGCCCATATAAATTCAATTTGTAACTCAACACTCCTCCGACAGAGGGCGTGGCGGTGCTACAATCACATTCTTCAATCAAAATAAATCAGATTATTAAATAAAACTAGAAACACTAATTGACAATTCAATACGTAGGATTTAAGAAGAACAATCGTTTATCAATGAAATTTAATCAAATAGCTAATTATGAATACAGTGTCAGTTAAAATTATGCATTCTTCAGGTACATTTTGCTACAGATAGAGACAAGTAAATGATATATTCCAACTTAATCTTTATATGTAGATTTTAAGTTTATACATGTATAAATTTTGTGGATACCCTTAAAATATCTTCATTTATAAGGTTTTATTTTTCAAATATCTATTCAATAATAAAATTATCTAGATATTAATTTAAACTTGAAATTTTCAGGATAAGGGATTGAAATTATTACAATTAACTTTTTTTGCACCCTCTATAATTAATTTAATTCATATAAAGAAGTCGTGGTAAGCATATATCAGACAATTTCTTCATTCGCGCTATGATAAAAGTATTTGGTATCATAAAACTCATATTAGATTAAAAATTGTTTTCATCTGTTATGGCTATTGTCAATATGTTCTTAAAGTTTGAAACATAGCATTTTTGAACATGTTTATCAAATCATTAACTTTTGCAGCAATGCAGAAATTTGAGAATGACTGTTTCCAATGAAAAAAAAAATGAAAACAATTATTACATAAGTTACAAAGGAAACAAAACATTGAAAGACAATTTATTTCATTTATTTTGATTAGATTTTCAGAGAAAAATTCTTGTAACATATTTAAGAAGAAATGATAGATTTTATTGGTTTGCAACGCCTGCGAAAAAAAAAAATCCCAAAAGTGATTTTCAAAGAACACTATGTAATTCAATTTTTTCAAAGCACATTTCTAAATTATTGTAATGCAATTTTTATGGTAAAGATGTGGTTTAAAATACAATATTTCAGGAAGTTCAAAACTTATCCCAAACATACAGCGTTGCAATGGGAAATATATGAAATACAAAGACTTATCAAAATATTCGAAGACTGGCGCCAAAAAATCAAAACCGCTAAAGGTACGTCAATGAATTTTTCACATTTAGTCAACATCATATTTTCTGTCTACGGAATAAACTATAAGACCCATGTTTTATCTTTGAATAAATTGTAGATGTTTCCGCAATGGTATGACCACGCGGTGCAAACTCAAAATACGACGCGTTTATATATATATATATATATATATATATATATATATATATATATATATATATATATATATATATATATATATATATATATATATATATATATATATATATATATAATAAGTTTCATCTCAATCGTTAACTATGCGTGCCAAAAATTTTAAAGTGGTTACAGAGAATGAATACCTATTAATACTGTTATTTCTAATTTTCATAAGATATACTGATATACTGATCTTTACTGTATTGGTCTAAAATTAATAAAGAATTACTTGTTGTTCAGCTTTTCTTGTACTCTACTTAATTTAAAGATACATGTATTTATCCACACTTTTTACAAACTGTGATTATACACATCTATTACACACTGTAATTATACATACCTGATACACACTGACAGATCTTTCTTCGTCGATTGTAATAGGAGACAGATCCGCAGGTGTGTTCCTGTTAAAATTGAAACAAATTCATTAAATCTGCCTAATATGAGACTGCTTAATATGAATAGCAGTAAATTCAACGTTCTTATCATAAAATCATTTGTATGCGCCTTTTTAAAGGTTTAATAGCACTCTAATTTGAATATCTTTATCATAAACTTAAATAAAATCTGAAAAGCGATTTTTTTTCAATTTTTTTCTTCTTTCACTGATACTGACCACCAATCACAACTGTAAATATTTAGATTCAAATGATTCTAGTAGCAATCTCTAGATATGATTTTAATCTCAAGAGGAGTAATAAATAGAGGATATTCAATGTTTTGTAGATGAATATGGAATTGATTTCACTCGTAAGACAGGATGTTTTGATATTTTCATGAGTGCAAAGCACGAGTGAAAATATCAAAAATTCCTGTCTCACTAATGAAATCAATTCCATTCATCTACAAAACATTGAATTTTCTGTTTATTACATTTTCTTTGATTTTCCCTTTGACTTGGATTCTTAACAACATATTTAGAGAAACTTTGGCAGTTTTAGTCTCTGTCAGGATAATTCATTTACTCTCTCTATCATATAACAGGCCAAGGATTTAAAAAAAAAAACACTCTTCGTGAAGGGAAGGAAAATCGTGAATTTTACCGCACTTCTGATATTCTCACGCTGTGAGAATACCATTTATGATACCCTTTCACACTGTGTCAGAATGTCACTTTTATTTAGTAAATAAATTACGGTATTTCACTGTTGAAAATGTAACAAGAGGCAGAATTATTTAAAGTTGTAGAAAATCTTTACTGATGACGTCCTTCTCTTTTTTTTTATACTCAAGCATCTTAACCATAAATATAGCATAATACACTTCAGGAAACATGTAGATCTATATTGGGGGTGTTATCAAAGGTATATGGAACATGTGGAAATTTTCACATCAACACTTATACCCCCCAGTTCAAAAGTGGGAGGGTATATAGTGATCGGGATGTCCGTCCGTCTGTACGTCCATCAGACCGTCTGTTACGCTTTAGGGTACATGTACCGATCTCTTACCCTCAACTCCTCTTATACCACTTAATGGAATTTAATGAGACTTTTACAGAATCTTTATTACATATTACATTGTGCACCTCCTATTTTACTTTTTGATCTGACACATATTTCGGGTCTCCCATAGCAAAACATGGACTTTGCCATTATAATCATATGCGAGGGGGTATCATTTTGTGAGCCCAGTGCTCTAAGTACCTCAAGTTTCTTGTTTATGATGATGTAAGCTGGAAAGAGCATCATCACTGTTAACCGTACACTTTGATAAAAGAAAACACAAGAGGTCTGAGGAAAGTTCCGTATCAATGACAATGCTTTAGTTATTTAAAAGATCATAGACGAAATGACAAACTATAGTCTGAGCTACCTAATCCATTATTGATTGCATCTGGCAGGTAACTCAGTTGTTGTACAGGAATTAATGGTGCACTAAACCATAAATCTGTCTTTTCAACACCGAAAGGAGATCTCACATTTTTTTTTAAAAGGACACGTTGTCGGAAGTCTTTACCATATGGATTTCTTCAGTTCATGGATCAGTGTGTTACTGCGATATTGTTACAAGAAGCAATTTAAAACTTTAGTCAAAACAAATAGTCACAAATACAGTATTCCTTTTACAACGTTATTTTATTTTGATCATTAAGAGAATAGTCTCATTGCCATTCGGCATGCGTATATTATCTATCTTCAATGCTTTATCATCTATGTTTTCTAATTTATTCTAATATAGACATTGTGTAAAACATTCAGTCCATTTCATATATATAGGATATGAAATTTACTTTAACTTAAGGATTACGTTAACTCACGGCTCTTCACTGAGTGGCCAAAAGTTTTGCAAAAAACATGGCGTCATTGCTTGATGAGTTGATTGGGCATATTTCGAAAATAATTATAACATTAAAAATATTTTACTTACTTGTGTTTCTAGTATTAGGAGGCATAGCCTTTCTGAATTATCATTTACCGGAATTACTGCACGCTGGCTTCGTATATATACTTGATAGAGGCCATGTCATATTCTTGCGTTCTTGTGTACTTTTGATTCAATCTATCTCCCGGTAGAGTTTAATTTTAATGCAACTCCAGACATTTTCTATAATGTTTAGATCTGGTGATTGTACAGGCCAAATAAATTTCTGAATTCTATTTTCCTGTTCTCATGCAGATGTCTGTCTTGGTGAATGCAGAGTAGCAATGTCATTTTTGAATACAAATTCTCTATTTCCATAAGCATTTGCATTTTCTGGCCAAAATAGGTATCAAGTAATTCTATATTCTTCATTGAGTTCAAATTACCACTAACAGGTACGATTATACTAATTCCATTGTAAATTATACACCCCCAAAACATGCATCTTACTTTGACTGGCGATTTACGCTGATTCAGACGTATGTTTTCTACTTTACCAAGGCCTTTTTCTACAAACTAACAGATTTATTCTATCTATAACCACCCGCGTTTCTTCAGAAAAAATAACTTTCTGCCACTGTCCAGTGTCTCTTATTTCTACACCACAAAATTCGCCTTTGTCGAATCACTTTACTGATGATCAAAGTCTTCTGATATTTCCCCTTTTGTAGCTTTTCTGTTTTAATCTACAACGAACAGTTCTAGCTGATACTTTTACAGATACTGTGTTGTTAAAAGCTGCAGTAGTATCAGGTGGGGATTGTCTCCTATTTGTTTTAACCAGTCCGAAAGTTTTACGATCATCCCTGTTATCAGTCAGTCTTGGCCTACCACTTCTCCCGTTGTTTTCCACACTTTCCGATTCATTTAATTTCTTTAAAATTCGCCAAACAGTGCTTATATATGTATTCATAGTGTTCGCTGATTTGGTTTTTATTCAATCCTTCCAAGTTTAAATCTACGATAAATTCTTTTACATCGGATGACAATTCTTGTTTCTTCGCATTTACATTCTGTACATTCCTTACAATATAGGAATTTCTTTTGCTGTTTCTTAAATATTCTCGATTCCCCAAGATGTAATGTTTGAACAAGTCATCCATCCCGATTAAAAAAAAGAATACAAATACCAAGATGACGCTTAAGGCAATGACGTCGGTCATGTTTGTTGCAATACTTAGAATAGAAACCGATTCTTTAAAGCAAAATGTCGTTAATATAAAAAAATGATCAGATGATACATTAATGTGAGCATCAAAATTTTGAAAAATCTATGCAACAACCAAAGGTTCATTTATGGTAATGTAGAGGAAATCTAAACAAAATTTTTATTGTTTTTAACAAAGTTTTTTTCTAACAATGTTATCCTAAAAGTTATTCTTTTATGTGTATTAGATTTAAGATCGCCCGATTTCTGCATAAATATATTTGAAGTTGTACTAAATATTATGGCTGGATTATGTAGTTATTTATTTACAAAATTTCAGATTATAGCCAGAAGAGTCATATTTGATATTTTTGCGATATATCTTTTATGTAGTTTGTTAATCATCCAGCTACATTAATGTATTTTGAAATAGCACGATGATTTTCAGTATCATTTTATTTTTTAAAACAATCTGAGAATAAAAGGATTTTCATTGCAGACTAATTACTTTATTTTATTAATAGATAAATGTGACGTAAAATGATATCTTACCATTTCGTGACGAGTACAGGTATTTGGACCATTAACTAAAGAAGTTGAAATACTTTTACTCAGTCGGCAAATGGTTCCCGCCACGGATGAGCATATTTCCACAGCATTGCAGTCCAAGTCCTTGTAGCATTCAGAAGCACAATAACGTAATGAAATTTCCGTTATTGTTGGTGAGAGCTCGTACAGCAGCAAAGATTCATCAGAGTAGGAAATATTTCCACGATATACAAATTTTCCATTTTGTCGATAAGCCTCAATATTTGTAATGTTAACACATTTTATGAAAACAAGAAACGTTAATGAAACAATATATTTCATTACAATTTTTACTGTGATGAAAAACATTCCAAAACACAAAGTATGCTTGAAGAAAGCGTTGATTCTTTTAGATCAATAACTTTTCTGATTGGTTCCCAAGACAAAAAGTTTAAGGTCAAATAAGTAATATCATCGTGCCACTCCACTTCACAATAACTCAAAATCACTTCATTTTTATTATGACACTGGTTAAGATGGAAGACAATTCCAATATTTTTTTATTAATTTGTTTATGACAGAAACAGGGAGGAGTAAGAGGCCTTAAAACGTGACCAAGTTGTACATTTGACGAGCACAAATAGTTCCTGGATATATACATAATTTCTTACTCTCTCCCATTTAGTATATATTTTGATAACCTTCGTAACATTCGTCACAAATCATAAATAAACTCAGAAAAAAAAAATGTTACAAGTATCACAGCAGGTGTCAACTTTGCACCTAAACAAATTCTCTCTGCTCAAAGACCATAATTAAGCACCAAGTATCATCGATACGTAGCTAGGTAGGTGAACATTTTTAACACTAATGATCATACGAATGCATTCTCATATCTAAGAAAGAGATATTTTGTTAAATGCACTTTACTACATTCAACTCGTACATGTAACTAAGATACAATTTATTATTCAAACACAATTCATTAATTTTCATTAATATTACATGTGAAATGCATTTTTTTAAATTAGTTTTCACTTTCATTTATAATTGAAATTTAAAAATTGTCCATAAAAACAATGTTAATGGACACGTAAAATTTAATTGCCAGCACTTATGATGTTATGAGTTATTCGGTTTAGTCAATGACGATGGGTTTGTAATTTCGGAGGTAACTTGTACATAGAGAATATTCAGGAAGGCGATACACTACATTAACAGTTTTATTAATAATGAATAACAGAAACAACATTTTACCAGAAATATCAATTCCTAAATTAATTATGAATATTTGATATTGGATACCGTATTTTCTTTATTTTTACAATGCGATAAAACAGTCGAATGACTTATTTCTAGCAAGAAATCAATACAATATAATTTGAAAAATCAATATTCAATTTAATATTTTCAGAATTTAGGGCAATGTCAAATCTAATATAAATCGCCGATTCCTATCCCATATTTTTGAAAGAGATATTATTGAACAGTTGTTGAAATTGAACCGTATATGTTATAATCTTAAAACAATCACGTACAACGAACAAGAAGGTGAGACTTTTTAAATGCAGGTTTTTTTCTTAGATACATGTATTATTCTTTCGAATATTAATATTTGAGTCAAACGATATGAATCAAGAGGCTCATGGTCCTTGGAGGTCACCTAAGTATAATGAGTTCCTCAAGCTTTGGCATCATTTGCAACACCTGAAACTGCAATTCTGAACTCGTATGGAACAAAATACTGTTCTTTGAGGATTCTATAATCATAACCTTAAATAAACCTGTCTCAAAGAAACCAAGTGTAAAAAAGACACCTAAAGGTACACCGTATTACATATTTAAGTATTTCAATATAATTCAGTCTCATCCTAGGGCATGAACAATATCCCAAGGGTGGTGCATTTTGGAAGTTGGGTATGAATCAATGGTTATAATGCAATCGTTTGTCAGCTAGATGTCTTCGTGTAAAGAAGAATGTTTTTTTTTTAAAATGAGTAATACATTTTCAATGATTTACCAACTACTCCCAACCCTGGTAGTAGAACCATGTGACTGAAGTCCTCGATTTTCACAATTTGGTAAAAGTTGAACATGCATTTTCTGTAAGCACCAAAAAATTACCATGGGGCTTTGAAACGGCATGTCCCCAATTTGGATGAAATTTCCAACAAAGGTGCGTCTTGGTAAGAAGCTACCAAATATGGTATCAGAAGTTCTACACGTGCACCCGGTTGCCATGGAGATGGATCCATTGAATTTGGCCATTTTTGGCCCTTTTGACCAAATGAAAACATGAAAATTGAGGAAATGTAAACTCATTTTTATGTTTAAGTAGTACACATAAACATGAATCATTGTATCATACAATAATATGAAGTTTTAAAGTATACAGGGCATATAATAGTTTTTCAAGAAATATATCCACTGTAGGAAAAGGACGTGCAAAACGACAGGGTTTTGAAAATGTGAAAAATGGAAAATTAAGTACTTTTTTAGAAATATAAGGCTAAATAGAAGAAAAGGTCTATGGAAAATTTCGAAATCTTATGTGTTATCATACTTCAGGATAAGTAATGTCATCTGAAAAAATTTCAGTTGGATCTCAAGACTATTTTTAGAAACATATATCTATAAATATATATATTTAAAATGTAAAAATTCAAATTTTGGCAGAGGTTTAGAGGCCATTGCTGGATAATTAGGAAATATATTGTAAAAATCAATATGTTAATGACAGAAGCTGGACACCACTAATTGGCATGCACCATATTTGAACAGGGTTCCCATTTCTATTCATAGCGACAACCACCTAAAAATAGATACGTCTTAGCATATGAGGAAAAATGACAATTTTCTATCATTTAGAAGCTTCATAGAAAAAAGTATTTACAAATATACTACTCTCCACAATATGTCATCAACAAGAACAAGTGGTCATACAAAATTCACATAATCCTGAGGTTGGGCTCTCATTTCTATTTAAAGCAACAATTGTTTAAATATAGACATATGGCAAAATATCGGGAAAATGAAGATTCTTGCACTATTTCAGACATTACCAATGGAAGATTTGCAGACTTATTGTTATAAACATAAAATGGCTGACAAAGTACTAGTCAACATTAACTGAAATACAGAATAATCAGTTGGGGGGGGGGGGGCTTTCTTTTTATTGTAACACATGCCCAAAAATAGATACAGTACCGATCAGACACAACCTAACACCAAAGTGAACCCAAGGCGCTCCTCGGGTTCGCTTTTTGGGTTCGCTCGGGGTGCGCTTTCAGAAATTTTGGGTGCGCTCAGGATTCGCCTTGGGTGCGCTTCGGGTTCGCTCTGCGTTCGCTCGGGGTCAGCTCTGGGTGAGCTGGAGCGAACCCGGCGTTCGCTTTCTGGGTTAGCTTTACGCACTCATGCGTGAATCGGACCAGCTTTAATATTGCTGCAGTAAGCCCCGCCTTTGTATATTCCAAATACAGTAGTGAAAGCGATCATTGTTATTTTTTTGGCGATCGAAACATGTACACATAAGTGACAATATTGAGAACGTTGATAAATTTTCCAGAATTTCGCCGTACATTCGACGTAGAATTATCACTTTTATTTTTCTTAACTAACAAGTATATCGCAAAAAAGAAGGAGAGGAAGAAAAGGTGTTGAATTTATTTTCGATGGATCGGATGGAGTGAAATTGATGAGTAGCTGAACAAAAAGCTTTCGAATTCATTTGTTAACATTGTTTATGCGTGAATAGTTTTAAAATCAACTGGAACTTCCAATTGTAATTGCAATTGCTAAATCGTAAATTAAATGTTTGAAAGACAAACAACTGAATTATGATCTTATCTATGAAATAACTTAGACATATTGTACACGTAAAATGCTAAGTTTTCATTTTAAATTTAGCAGGTTACATTTAAGCAAGATTGTCGTCCATTACATTTAGATGTAGGTCGTGATTATCACTAAAACTTCTCAAAAAGTGTAACTCGAGTTTCGTTTAACTGATTGTTTATAATTTAATTCTAAGCTATAAATCATTGTTTTATAGGGCGAGTTTTAAAAAAAAAAGGAAAAAGAAAAAAGAAAACCGATAATTATTCACCTTATAAGAATATTTTGATTAATTTTATAAAAGTTATTCTTAAATAAATGATCATTTAAAGAGTTTGTGTTCCTTACTGGATCACCCCCCCCCCCCCCCACACACACACACTACATACATGCTGGAGCGGCAAGTTAACGATCAAAATTTTAAATGTTTTAAAATAAATTAAAACAAGAAAAATCTCTTAAACAGGTGGATGATTACCGACACTTGATGACATTGGCTTCACTTTGAAAATATCATTAAGTGTTAAAATTAATTAAATAATTATGACGATTAAAAAATTCAAATACGTAACTATGTAATGGAAAAATACATGTACTTTTCATATCAACGCATTTTTGTAAGTGTTCAATTTACTAACGTATATATACAAGGCACACTGTACGTGATTTTTTCATGTCCAAGTGCAAAACAATATACAATGTACGCGTCCTATTTTTTGTATATGAAGTATTTCAAAAACTACATGTAACTACAAGTATATGTAAGAGGTTGGTGTACATTTACACCCGTACATATACATCGACGTGAAAGAAAGTGATAAGCATTTTTGTGGTTTTTGGACTGATTTGCAAGTAGTTAAAAAATTTCAAACATTAAGTCTACATGTAAGACATGTAATTTGAATTGCCAAAATAATCTTTCACTGTATACATGTATATAAATCAAGCTTTACATAATGTTTTTGTCAAAGATTAATCAAAATAATACCATGGTAGTTGAAAAAGAAATGAGATTCTTTTTTCTAATTTACGATTAACATACATGGACACTGATACTGTACATTTATTTTTTTTTTATTTTCAATTAAGGAGATTAATAATGTTGATGTTGATCTGGATTTAAACGAAAATATAAATTAGAAAAAGAAAATTGAATGAAAGTACGTACATGTACATGTTCTTGTACAGTATCTTGATATGATGAAATGCTATAATTTGTCAAGACCATTTTTTTCTTCTTTATTTTTAGTAACAATTGTAATAACCATTATTGCATTTTTTCTGTTATATATTAAAGTACGTATTGTCTGATAAATTTACGCAATGTACATGTACATGTATGTTAATAATTAAATGGATTTTAAAAATAAAAAATACAGAAAATAAGTATGTCAATATAACAAGCTACCTGGATAATTAAAATATAAATATACATTATTTTTTAATCATGTTAATGATAGTATCACATTGAACATTTACACGTTTTGGTTGTACGATGTTTTAGT